AAAGAAGGGGAAAACACTCACAAACTAATAGGTAAGTTAAAAACGAATTTTAACAGACTTGTAAGGTTTCTTTTATGGGAAAAAAGGGGGGGGGGGGCTCCAATGAGCATCTGAACAAGGGAAACTTCCTAACCTTTCCCTGGAGATGACTCCATGAATCCCTGGGTGTTGTAATAGGAGTGGCGGGCTGCGTCCTGCCACCCGGCTAGCTTTACCTGAAATAATTACATGGAAACTGTATTCATTTAAACACTGCCTGGCCCATTAGTTCCAGTCTCTTATTGGCTAGCTCTTACATATTGATCTAACCCATTTCTAATAATCTGTGTAGCCCACGAGGTGGCTTACCAGGGAAGATCTTAACCTGTGTCTGTCTGGAGTGGGAGAATCATGGCGACTCCCTGACTCAGCTTCTTTCTCCCAGCATTCTGTTCTGTTTACTCCACCCACCTAAGGGTTGGCCTATCAAATGGGCCTAGGAAGTTTCTTTATTAATTAACCAATGAAAGCAACAGATTAGAAAGAAATCACTCCCACATCACCTGGGCATACCTGGATTGACTAAAGATGGAGGTAAACTGAGCAGCATGGTTGCTAGGCCTATGAATTAAAATCGTCTGACAGAACAGGAGCTGGGACTTTTGTGGGAATAGGGGACATTTCTTTAATACATCTGTAGAAGCTAGTGAAATTAGCAAAAAAGTGTCTTAGTCATTGGTAATATTTAAAACTTCTGACTGGCCACCTTTTTAAGCATTATATCGGAGGGCCGATTGCTGAAATTCAATTAATACCATGTGAAGTTTCTCAGCCATGAGACCCCTACAAAACCCCTGAACCATGATCCCCTGGAAGTTACCCCACCAGAAGCCACATGGAATCATCCATTTGAAGTGACGTCCATAAACCCAGGAGCCAGAGGCAAAGAGATGGAATTGATTGGGTTCTGATTCCTGTTCTGGAGACTCTTGTCTGAGACTTCCAAAGACTCTTCATCCCCTCCTGCCATGTGGAGCTTGGAGCTCATCCTCTGAGCTCAGCATCGTGTATTCTTGGGTCTTGGATGTCTTCCAGGACACTGGAGCATGAACTGTGAAACACTGAATAAGGCCCCTGCTGCTTTGTTTCTCAAACACACTCATACACACCTTTTTGTCAACCCTATTACCTGCATATGTCCCTTTCTGGATGTTTGCTGTGTGCCATTATCTGTCCTGGGCTCGATTCACACAGTTCTTACTCCAGTTCTGCTAGGTCTGGCTCTCGCCAACACCCCCACTTTATAGATAAACAGCTCAGCTTAGAAGCATGGCTGAAGGACTGTGCAGCTGGCACAGGCTCCTCTCACCTTGGACTCCAAGAGCATAGGTGTTGCCTCGTGTTAGTCCACGCTCTACGAATGGGACCTTTGGGGGTGTGGAAGCCAGTACTGCTGGAAGACATTCAGGAAGCAGGGCTCGGGTCTGTTTGGCTTTCCAGCACCTTTTTATTGCCTCTTTTACTCTGGTAAAGGGACTATTAGCTACTTCTCTGTTGCTGTGTTAAAACCATGGCCAGGGAAACTTACTAAGGAGTTTATCTGGGCACACGGTTCCATACGGGTAAGAGGCTCTCATGGCAGGAGACATGGCAACAAGCAGCAGAAATGGCAGCAGGAAAAGGAAGCTGAGGACTCACATCTTGAACTGTAAGCATGAGTCTGAAAGAGCAAACTAGAAATAGCAGGAGTCTTTAAACTCTCCAAGCCTGTCCCCAAGAACATATTTCCAATAGCAAGCCAACACCTCCTAAACCAAACCAAACTGTGCTGCCAACTGGAGAGACCAAGTACTTGAATACCCAAGACTGTGTGGGGCACCTCAGTCAAACCACCAAGAGGACATCTGTGCAGAAGAGCCAGTCAGGGAAGAACACTGATGTCTTCATGTTAGCCATAAGATTCTGGAATTTTCTATCCATGTGCCCCATCCCTCCCTCTCTCTCTCTTTCTTTTCTTTCTTTGTCTATTTTTCCTTCTGCACATACTTCTAATGATAATGAAAATGGGATCTGGAGGCAGTGGAAGAGTTGACAAGCAGAAGAGAGAAGAGCAAAGTGAGACAGCCCCTCTCTCCTTCCGCTCTCCCGTCATAGTCCTACCTAGGGGATCATTGTACAGATTCCCAGTTTCACCCCAAAGAAGCCTTCCATGGAACTCGATCCAATCTGCATCCTCAGGGATCCCAGGGACTCCTGGGATCTTTTCCATTACAATTTAGGACCAAGGAGGCAGTATGTCAGTGCCCATTTGACTAGAATCCGTATTGCTCATAGAGGTTGGCATAGAAAGGGGAGGAAATGAGGGCATTTCATCACAATTTAAGAGCACGGTCATATGGGAAGATAGTCTTCTCCACTCTGTATTTTGGCCTTTGGCAGAACCCAGTCAGTAACCAGGGTAAGAAGCGAAGGATTTCCTTGTTTCCCTGCTACATATATAAGAGGCGATCAAAGAGACAAAGAGAGACCATTTCATAGGACATCTAATCCAAGAGAGGAAACTGATTATGGGCTCCTCCAAATGCCTACTACAACATCTCTGTCTTCTCATTTTATATTCCAGACTCATACTTGCCCCCACCCCAACTTGCAGAAAACGTCTTCTCTGCCTTTTCCATTACTGAAGCCTCGGGCATCTCTTTCTTTAGCCTGCCCCACTCCCAGTCAGTCCCACATATACCTGCCCCAGCAGTGTCTTCCCGTGAGTTCTCATGACAACCTGCACGTCTCCGGGTCATTTTCTATGCCATTGTCAGGACTCACGTGCTAGTGCAGATGTGCAGACCTGTTCATCTTCATTGCATCCCTGACAGGCTGCTTGGCCTCTTGAATACAGTCTTGATTACGTGAGTGACAGGACATTTAGGGCTGCGAATAAGTTGGAAGCTAACCTTCAGGGAACTTACTCCAGTCCCAGCTCTAGGTATCTTCAAGAGCTCATACATACTCTCCATTCACAGCCTCTGGCAAGCGAGCACAATCTTCCTACCATTTGGGGCTAAGCCGAGCAGTTATTAATAGATTTGTAAAGGCGATACTAGATAACATATATTTGAGCGACTATTATGCCCTAGACTCTGTTGTAATCACATTGTTTAATTGTTTAATCCTCACAGCAACCCCATGAGGTAACTACCCTCATTTTTTATAGATGAAGAATCAGAGAGGTAAAACAGAATATCGAAGTCACACAGCTAGTTAAGTGGAACATTTGCTTCAATAATGTTCATTCTCTCAATAGCCAAGTACTGCGGCCCCTGGATGGGAAAGTCAGAAAGGGTAGGACACGAGTGATTCAGGGCACAGGAAGGAATATCTGCTTTCTATTACCTGTTATCTCGTGACTGAATTGTGCTATCTTCTTAACTTACATGACATGCTTATGTACACACACACACACACACACACACACACACAACTCTCCTTAGCAGCAACTGTTTTTGTTAATTTTCCTGAATGATCGGGGCTCCCCACTGTGAGTGTGCTGGCAGGTGTATGGATACAGCAGTCACTGATGAAGGCAGAACAACCTAGACTGGAGATGATGCATAAATACACACATCCTGGAAGGGGCAGAACAACACGCTTTCCACTCCGAGACAAAAGGATAGCTCCCTCCTCTAAGATTCAACTTGGTGGGCACAGCAGAACCTTGTCATCGGGGACACTTACATATGAGTGAATTTGTGGAGGAGTCAACAACCTCTGTTGAGGTCTGTCTTAGCCTGTTCAGGTTACTCTAACAAAATATCACAAGCTAGGTTATTTATGAAAGAAAGAACTTTGTGTCTCAACACTCCAAGAGCTGGAAAGTCGGAGAGCAATGTGTTAGCAGATTTGGTGTCTGATGGGTGCCAGCTTCCTGGGTTACAGAAAACATCTTCTTGCCATGTCCTCCATCTGATGAAAAGACTAAGGGCTTTTCCCAAGGTTTCTGTTAATAAGTACATTAACCCCATTTAGGTAAGTTCTATTATAGGATGTAACCACCTCTCAAAGGTCCCGTGTCCTGCCATCAAGATAGCGATAACAATGCGTAGAACATAGGAGCTATTCCAACGGAAGAGGATTTGTGCTCATACATAGCAAAGGCATGTGAAAAGGAAGGACGTCCCAAGGAAACTTGAACATTAACTGCATCAGTTAAAACTTCAAAATATTAAATATTCGATAAGAGAATGGTCAAAATGAACCTGCAAATACAAGTATCTCAAAAACTGCCAAGGCCATCCCAAGGGGCTGCACGAAGATGCTGGTTTTCAGGGCTTTAAAGTCAACTAAGCAGAAATTTTAAAGCAGAACCCATGGGGACTTTAACATCCTTACATATTTTTACTGTTTTCATTTCCAGTGTCATGAAAAGAGAGGGAAGATATTTATAGTTATCAGAGCAAAGTCTTAGACTGAAATAACTCCACGCTTTTCATTCCAGGGAATCTAGGATTCCAAGGGCAGCTTTAGCGGAGCCAGAAGATTTTCCTTCCTAGGTGTCTGGTGGAGAGAGGGGATGTGTCATTTCATTGGGAGTTTGCCTTGAGGGTAAAGTGACAGGGCAGAGTTTTAATAGGTGGTTTGAATTTTAATGGGCAGACATTCTGGGGAAAACTTTGTCACCAAACTTTTAAATGCACTTTAAGAAAAGCATAGATGTGGCAGGAAATAGGAAAGAGCACCCTTCAGAAGAGATTCTTCAAAACCTTAAGATTTGACTTTTGTAAGTAAAAATCTAACATAGAGATGGTTTATAACTTCAGAAAAAATGAGCTGGGACCCAAGTAACTTCTCTTCCCCTCCCATCATGTCTCCCCGAGTCGTTGCTTCAATTCAGGGTGAATTTAATGGTCCCTCTTCCCTTTCAGTTTCTATGAGGACCTATTTGTGTGTATGTGTGTGTGCAATGTGTGCTTGGCTATGGTCCTATGCTTAATATTAAAGTTATAGAGTAAAACAATGAGGTAAAAGGTATTTATTGACACTGACCGGAATGTAATACAAATATTTCCGAAGAACAAGATGAAGACATTTCCTGGTTTATTTTCTCACAGAGATCCATGGTGCTCTAAAATCAAGAAGTGCCACTTGTCCCTCTGGAGAAAAGCCCATGCAGGCAGCAAGCTTCCCCAAGCCTAGCTACTCTGTCCTTAAGAACTGCAGGGATGAGTTCATTGCAGTGGATGGGGATCTTCGCACTCATTCCTCTGCCAGCAGAGCCCAGTGAGGTCTATCTTGTGGGAAGCTCCGGGCTGGCCTCAGAGACGCTGCTGAATAGAGCCGCAGAACCAGCCAGCAGTAGAACAAGAAAGTGAGCCTCGGAGTGGGAGTGGATGACTCAGGCCCTTGCTGTGTCCGGACTGTGTTGAAGCACAGATGCTTAGATGGGACACACATGCTGCATGGTGAGGGTGACAGCGCTCCAACTCTGATGTCCCAGACACATAAGAGCAAAGCGAGAAAAGGCCTTTCCCAAAGCCATCTCTGCCTTTGAGGTTATCGAGGTCATAGTCAATGAGCAACTGTTGGACAGCTGTTGACTCCTGGCAAAGATCATTCTCTCCCCATCAAAATGGCTTCATCTTTACCTTAAAAGGCATTTCACTCTCCAGATGAATGGCTACAATGTACAATATGGAATTCAAAGTCAAAACAACTTTTTCCCATCCTTCGACTCAGTGAAGTTAAGTTTCTCCTCTACAAACTTGAAAGTGGGTGAGAGAAGTTAAAGACAATACACACAGTGCCGTTTTCAATAATTTAATTATTAGACTCATGCCCAAAAGAATGAACTTGAATGAAATATTAAATATTCTTCTTAAAGCAATTTGGGCACAGACAATCACACACATAAGGACTGGGGCCCAGGGAAGGTTCTCCCCCAAAGTGCCAGTGTTTTTGTTGGTTTCCTTGGAGAAAACAAAGGAGCACATGATCAGAGGTAAACAATGTTTTCTTCAGCTCCATCTCCAGCATCCCCACCTTGACTGGTCACCATTGGGAGAGTTAGCTTCACTTCTGTGGGGAGCGTCTGTGGCTGAGGACCATGTTGACTTGTGTCCTGGGGGTCTGGGGAGTCACTCTGGAAGGAGTTCAAATCTGCAACAGAAAGACACCACAGGTCACACGAGACTCCACTTGGGATCCACACGGCAGATGGCACCTTGCCTCAGAATCTGGAAATATAGTGGCCTCACGGTCAGCCAGAGAGAGAATGCCCAAGCCCAGGATGATAGGAACACAGCAGCTATCTAGTGATGTCATCAGTATTCAATTTTAGGCACACGCATCTCCTTGGAGTAAAAATAACCTTCATGGAAGACTCTTAAGGAAGTGTCAAGTGTGTAAAGACTGGTTCCATTCCTAGCCGTTACATCACTGCTACAAGAGAATGGGATTCCCATGGGCTTCCTTAAGTGGAGTCAAGTCTTGAAAATGAAGATAACCTTCTGTGTATGGTAACCACATATGTATCTGCATAGCATCTTCCTTCAGAACACCCACAGCAAGAATTGCTCTCAGGCTGTGTGCATGCACATGCTTTTAATCCCAGCACTCGAGAGGCATATGTGGATGGATCTCTGTGAGTTCAAGGCCAGCCTGATCTACAGAGTGATATTCAGGACAGCCAGGGCTACACAGAGAAACCCTGTCTCAACAAGTAAATAAACAACAATTAAATAATAAACAAATTGGTCTCAAGACTCCATTCATCTGGGACTTGAAGAGTGTAGACAAGGGGTGGGAAAGGGGTGTTGAAGGATGAGGAAGACCTTCTATCCTCCCACCATGCATTTCTGTTACTGCTACACAAAGAACTTTGCAAGAGCAGCTAGATTTCTGGGAAAATCTCACCAACAGCGACTGTAACTGGGCTTGCAGCGATTTTTTTTATGGTTGCCTAGCAACAGCAGGCACCTTCTTCCTTTTCTGATAAAAGCTTCTTCTATATTGTGCTTTAAAGGGAGAGATGAAGGGGCACTTTGATTTGAAGAAAGAAACATACTCACTGCAAATCATTTCCATTGCGTTTCTTCCAAAAACCAATCCCCCCCACCCAGGTGTGGCAATATAGCAAAATTGAAGGAAAGGGACTTCTAGTTAAAGCCGGAGGCAAAGAGGCATAAACGCTGCTTGGAGAGCGAGGGTGGTCACCCTGAGGTCCACCCATCTCTCTGTCAATCATCAAAAGGAAACCATTATCATCTTTGCCACATTTTATCCTAAGCCAGCATGATTTAGACAGATATCGTACCTGTCTCCATCCGAATAACAGCCATGTTTCTAACCTTTCTCTCCAGACAGGAATTTTTGGCTGCTAGGGAATGTGGTATGCAAGTCTCGGTAAAAATGAAGGGCAGAATTTCACCTACAGGGCTCCATCTTTTTGCTACTCCCTCCCCAGATTTTTTCTTTTTCCAGTAGGAGGTGGGGCTCATGGGGGAGCAGCAGCCAGGGGCATAGGAAGTAGACCAGATCACCTGGAGAAGCAATGGTCAGAGCCGAAAGTCTCTGAAGCAAAGGAGAACCCCAAGGCAGGGTGAGGAGGTGAGGCTGAACTTCAGCTTGCTCAAAGGCACCGGCCAAGCCTAACTGGTTTTCTCTTTTTCCTTTTTCTTTTCTTCTTGAGAGAGAGCCTCTCAGGCTAGCCAAGGATGAGCATGAATTTCCAAGTCTTCTGTCTCTACGTTCTGAGCTATGGAATTACAGACATGGCCACCCTGATTAGTTTATGTGGTGTTGGAGATCAACTCAGGGTGTCATGAGTACGTGCTAGGCAATCATTCTACCAAGTGAGCAACATCACCAACCCATGAAGAAAATCTCCTCTTACATTGGGGAAACTGAGTTCTGTTTCTCAAACACAAGGAAAGTGTTATCTACAGGGTGTTGAAGATGCCTCTGGATGACAGCCATCCTGTCTGTACCTTCTCACTACCAACTTGAAAGCCGTGCCGAGTCTTTTATATCCACCATCTCTCTGCAACTCAAAATGGAATCCACAGTTTACAAGTTGGAAAACTAAGGCTCAGGCTACTTCAACTTTTTGCCCCGTATCACACAGCTCGGAAGTCTCCCAGAGCTCAACTTAGAGGACTGTAGCTGCACAAAGACACCTTCCTTGTCAGATCCAGAGTCTCCTGACCTCCTTTCTCAGTGTGTTAGAAGTGGCTTGCCCAGACTCTTCAGGCTACCAGGTCCTACAAGTTTACTGTGTTCTACCGACTCACCCTTCTAAAAGATGGCAAAGCAAAAGACGTTTTGGGTTTCCGTAAACAATCCGGGCAATAATTACAGACCTAGCAACCTCTCCCACACACAATCAGACAAACACAAGTATCCCAAGCAATGATTTCACTGACAGGGTAAGACTAAAAATCAACCCAAAATGCTTCCCCAGACTATTTTACCACATTAGGAGACAGGGTATGCGTGTCTGTGGACACGATGCGTCTCACACAATCTTCATTCCTCTCCCCAGCTGCTGTTGATACAGAATAACTTCAGAGGGAAATGGGTCAGCTACGCTGCAGCAAAAGAGGGGCCAGCCAGGACACACAGACCAGGACACTGAGAATGAAAAGAGTCACCCACGGAAAGAGGTGACTGGGAGCTTATTGTTGAAATCTGACGATTCTGGCCACACTCCCATAATCCATGACACTTCCTTCCGTTGAGATGAAGAAGAGTCCAAACTGCCCAGAGGCCTGGCAATCTAGGATGTCCCATTAATGGCTTTAAGAGAAAACCAACAAGCAAAACAAAGAATCAAGCACACATCAGAAAGGATTCGTGACTATCTTTAAATGATTGGCTATAGCTTTGGAAGACAGAGACCAAATGATATTGGTAGGATACAGGAGTATGTGTGTGCACACACGTTATTTTATAGCGGGGAGCAGGGCTTTAATCGGAGCATTTTGAAATGAGGAAGAAAACAAGAGAACACTATTTCTACTAGGACCTTCGGCCCTTACATGCCTGACCTACAGTGCAATCCCAGATGGATGCTGTGTGGTCACGCGACACCCGAAGGGAAACTCAATTTCCTTCTCCGTGTTCCTTCTTCATTTCTACTTGAACTGCACAGGCAAGGTCAGGCAGTCTGACTTTGACATAGAAGCCATTCTGTGATTTCTGATTTTATTACCCCACTTCTACCCCGAGAGAATTCTAGCAGAGCAATTGTGTGTTTCTGAAAGCCACCCAACGTTTCCACATTTTTTTTTTACCCCAAAGAATATGGTCCTCACAGAGAACCTAAGACTGAAATTACGTTTCTTCAAATGGACCCTTGCTGACTCAGGAAGCAGAGTTCTTAGAGAGTTAAAATGAACTATCCAATTTCATTTGTGATCAAAAGGCCTGATAACTGATGAAGAGAAAAATAAATCTTCCTTATTTGTAATAAGCAAAGAACTATTAACGGACTCAGAATCTGGAGAACTGAAAGGCAGACACTATTCTAGTGAGACTAATTTCAAAGTGCAACAGTATCCTTTGACATAAATCATTTGACCCTCACCACACCTCTGGAAACGAAACAGAGTGTGGATTATTAAGCCTAAAACAGAGACAAATAAGCTGAGATGCATTGAAAAAACCAAAAGTCTGGCTGAGTCAAATGGAAAAGCAGAAGCATGGTTCGAGGCCTTTTCGGCTACATATCTAAGTTACTGGTCACACACTAAAAGTTTAATTTCCAAAAAAAAGATAAATAAATAAATCTCCATAGCCACATTATGAAGGCTGCTGTGGGTTCAGACCAGTTCCCTAAAGCAGCTTTAGAAGTTAGTGTTGTTCACAGTTTGGCTGGCTCGGCTTCTTCTTGTAGACATTCAGGGCAGAAAACAGCCTCGTTGTTTAGAGACGTGTGCACGGAACACTCACACCCCAAGATGATCCGCTAAATCTGAGCTTCAGACCTCGGTGACAACCTAGCTGCTGACCCTGGCATTTATCATCTTCACATGTCCTTTTGTTCCCTAATACTGGAATTGCTAACACACACTGAAGACACTCAGCCTTCCAGTGTCTCACCGTGACGATTATTATTAGGAGCCAACTTGATCATTAGCTGTTATTGTGGCCAGATGATAAGTGGTTTAGAAAACATAGTTGTGTTATACTTAAGATGAACAAAGTGATTCATCAACTGTGAAGTAAACAAAATCTGCCCGATGAGGTGAACTGTTGCCTCGAGCAAGTCATGAAAGATTGGACTGAAACTGTGAAATCCTCTTACATTTCTATTTGAGTTCAATGATTTTACAAACAACGTTCCGAAGGTAAAACAAAATAAAGGGATGCCTTAGCCAGAACCTGGAAACAACCTAAAAGCCCCTCGACGAAGAATGGATAAAGAAGATGAGGTACATTTACACAATGGAGTACTGCACAATGGAAAAAAATAATGACATCGTGAAATTTGCAGGCAAAGAGATGGATCTAGAAAACATCTTAATGAGTGAGGTAACTCAGACCCAGAAAGACAGATATAATATGCACTCACTCATAAGTGACTTTTAGACATAAAACAAAGAAAAAACAGCCTGAAATTCACTATCCCAGAGAACCTAGACAACAATGAGGACCCTAAGAGAAACATACATGGATCTAATCTACATGGGAAATAGAAAAAGACAAGATCCCCTGAGTAAACTGGAAGCATGGGGACCAAGAAAGAGGGTAGAAGGGGAGGCAGGAGGAAGGGAGGGCAGTGGAGAAAAGTATATAGCTCAATAAAAACAATAAAAAATAAAATTAATCATTAAAAATAACTGTTGAAAATAAAAAATAAAATAAAAATAAAGGGATGCATAATGCAACCAAATCCATTACTTAAAGTTGCAATTAAGTTAATTAAATTAATGTTTATACGGTAGTCATCATTTTTCCATTGTCTGTCTTCATCCTTCTCAACAACATACATTTGAACAGACCACACACACTAGCCTTAAAGGGTGAGGAAACTAGCAACATCCACAGCTACTATCTATACTGGACCTGCTCTTGTGACCAACAAAATTAAGAGTTGTTTACCATAAAGAGCAGGGCTCTGACAAATAGTGAAGGCTCTAAATTTCAAAATATTTAGC